CGCCAAAGTTAATGACTGCGGGGGGTACTCCCATGGCTATGGTCCTTGCGAGGCCTCCCAGACCGCGCTGTAGTGCCGCGGCCTGTCGGAGGGGGCCATGGCGCCTGTGGTCACGTTGATCCCGGCGCGTACCTCGCGAACGAATTCGCGGAAATGTACAGTACCAGCAGTGTCCCAGTGGGGGCCGGCAATACGCGCGTCGTCTCCGCCACGCTGCACGTGCCCAACAGCACATCCGATAGCGACCCATAGGAGGCCAAATACGGCAATACCAATCCACTGGTCTCTTAGGTTGTGGTCGGATGTTGGTGGCTGTGGGTTATGATGTGACGTCGTCGTTAGCCTGAGTGGGGGTGGAGGCGGCACAGCATCGTGTCGCATGTTGCCATGCATAGTGTCTTCAAAAAAAAAACTGCCCACGTGGAGTAGGAGGTGGACTTCAAGAGTGCAATAGCGCAGAGAAGTCGGACTCATGCAAGAGGCCTCCGCGCGAACGGAGGTAGCACTGACAGTGCCATTGCGGTTGTGCGTAGATATGTACATTCCTCCGCGCAGACCCACTGCACCCTGATGTTCCACCATGTCAGTAGTCCACCAGTGCCGTGGATGGTGAGGAGTAGAGCTAGAGCTGACCACCACAGGCCAGCTCCGCTACCAAGTTTGAAGGGGGGTGGGAGACCCAACCATATGCTTCGCCTAAGGCGAATCCCATATCCAACTCTGTTGTACCGTAGTAACGAAAGTCCCAGAAGTAGGAGATCGTCGCGGGAGCGACGGGCCATGTCAAGCGAAGATGATTTCGGTCTCAATGGCAAGTAGTGTGCCTCGCGATGAGGCACAGTCATATCTTGGCGGCCAGCCGTTTGAGCACAAACGGCCGTGGACAAACGCTCGCTATCTCTCGCCTTTGCTCCAACCTCCTCTTGAATACCAAGACGGCCCAAGAGGGCCACAAAGGCCTCCAAGACGGCCCCAGAGGGCCCCAATGGGGCCCCCCCAACAGCACCTCCAGAGGCCAAAACCATTGATTTCCCATAGGATTTTGAAGGAATCTAGCGTTCTCGCCCTTTTCGACTCTCGGGGGCCCATGACGGCCAAGCAGCCTCCAAGATGACCCCAAGACGGCCCCAGAGGCCCCGAATAGGGGGGGCCCCAAGACGGCACACGAGAACCCCTATAGAGCCCAAAGAGGCCCCATAGACGGTCCAAGAGGCCCCCAAAACGGCCCAAGAGGACCCAAATAAAGCCCCAAGGCAGCCCAGAGAGAACTCCAAAACGGTTTCCGGAGAGGCCAGTCGGCGCAGGAGCGCCCCAAGACGGCCCAATAGGCCCCCAAGAGGCCCCAAGAAGCCTTGAAAAGGCCCCAACAAGGACCCCCCATGAGCCCCCAAGCGGCCTCCAAGAGGTTCCAAAAGAGGTCCCCAGGAGGCCGATTAGACATGCTCTGGACGTGCACCCCGCGAAGCGAGAGGAATCATGGCGCAACTATCACAAAACGGACACATGTTGAAGACATCGCCCAGTATTTCTAGCGACAAGCCTTGCGGGCTCCTTCATGGCAGAGCCCTTGCATCTAATATCACACAAGAACGGGCTATCGTTTGGCTTCTTTTTCCACGGGGGTCCGCTCAACGCTTAATTTCCACTGCACCTTGCCCCAGTCGACCGGGCAAAAACACAAAAGCAGGAAATGATGCATCCAGCCAGGGAGCGGATGGCTGACGTCTGGACCCGGCCCTGGCTCCCCCGCAATAAGCCGCAGCGCGGCGGCAGGGGCCGAGAAAGACCACGAGGAGGGCCGGGGCGAGGCGGGGGCCCTGAAGGCGGAGAGGGCCGGCCGAGACGCGTGGGCGGGGGGGGCGGCCTCAGGCGCGGGAGCGGGGGGTGGGCCCTCTTCCTCTTCCTCCTCCTCCTCCTCCTCCTCCTCCTCCTCCTCCTCCTCCTCCTCCTCCTCCTCCTCCCAGCCTGGGGCGCAGAAGGACAAAGTGGTACTATGTGCCCCCCTTGGAGCTAAACATCCGACTGGGACATGTGGTACAAGCATCTTCTAATATGGCGTTATCCCAGCGGCGTGGCCAGACCATGCCCACTGCGGTGCCTATACTGCAACTTGTTTCAGTGTCGCGTCCCCCCGCTGAAAGCGCCCACACCTATGTACTACAAATATAACTGGGTCCGACCGACAACCAGCACCCATCTGTGATTGCGCACCGCACGATTGGGTCGTTTTAGGGGGTTTAACGACCTCCACGACGCCCCCGTCGGCGGGAACACGACGACTCGGCGCAGTGTGAAGGGATGGGGTGCAGGATGTCAGCTGTGTCGCGATCGTGCCTACGGCCGGTTCACGTCGCGATAGTCTCGGCGTCGGTTTCTGACACCGCAGAAATCGTTCAACTCTGCGGACGGGTCGCCCCCACACCGACGCGGCGCGAACGTACCGCGGCCTGCTCCAGTCTCCTCGCCCCCCTCCTCCTCCTCCTCCTCCTCCCCCTCCCTCCTCGCCCACCTCCCTCCTCGCCCTCCTCGGGAAGGACAATTTGTTTATTGAGTCAGGCTTGCGCGGGGTGGCATGCCACAAAGACGCAAGAAGGGCGCTCTACAGGCGCCCCCTGCAGGCGGACGTGCACGCGCTGGGACAGCCGCCTCCTCCAAAGGGGCCATACTGGAGAGGGACAATGGACGGAGGAGGAGGGAGAGAGGAGGAGGAGGAGGAGGAGGAGGAGGAGGAGGAGGAGGAGGAGGAGGAGGAGGAGGAGGAGGAGGAGAAGGAGGGACGGAAGAGGAGGGACGGAGAAGGAGAAGGGATGGAGAAGGAGGAGGGACGGAGGAGAAGGAAGAGGAGCAGCAAGAGTAGAGACGGAGGAGGAGAAGGAGGGACAAAAGAGGAGGAGGGATGATGATGATGATGATGATGATGATGATGATGATGATGATGATGATGATGATGATGATGATGATGATGATGATGATGATGATGATGATGATGATGATGATGATGATGATGATGATGATGATGATGATGATGATGATGATGATGATGATGATGATGATGATGATGATGATGATGATGATGATGATGATGATGATGATGATGATGATGATGACGAGGAGGAGGAGGAGGAGGAGGAGGAGGAGGAGGAGGAGGAGGAGGGACGGAGGAGGAGGATTGGATTGTCCTCCAGTGGAGGGTGCAGTGGCTTCATGCGTAGCCACCTTTCCGTGGGGGGCGCCAGGTACCCGGGGGCAGGTGGTCGTGCGCGACCCCACGGCGACCAAGCTAGGGTCCGCCTTGGCACTGGGGAGGGGGGAATGAATGGAGAGGAATGTCCTCCTCTGCTCCGCCCAGCTCCGCCCCGTCCTCCGGTCGCCACAGGCCGGGCCGAAACCGAGCCGCTAAAAACGGGAACGGGCCAATCGCAGAGGGCCAGGAGTGCCCTCTGAGGTTGGAGCTCTTGCATGACCTTACTACCAAGGCCCTGCCATTGCAGGGCGCAGGTGCATTGCAGGGCGCGCGCTTTTGGTCCGCCGCTGGGCCCCAGAACTTCGACACCACAAGGTCGATGTCTCTGGCAAGAGCGGCTACTTCCTGGAAGCCGGCCTCCCCTGGACAGACCGAGAGGATCGTGCTGGCCGCTGCCACCCTCGATGTTGGGGGCGGGGAGACGCGCGCTGTCCAGAAGGCCGCTCGCGCCGCGCCTGTGTAGTTGCAGCTACCCAGGACATGCAGGGTGGGGCTGAGAACTTCCCCTTGACAGCACACGCAGACTTGCCGGCGAGCTCCCGACCAAACACCAGATAAGTGCCTGAGGACAAGGAGCTGGCATCGTAGCCGACTGAGGGAGCGCTGGCCGAAGAGGGCCGCGACGGGCAGGCGCAGGGAGAGCGCTGTGGAGAGGTCCTTCCTGGGCACTGGGCCAAGCGAGAGCGGGTCGGGCACTCGGACCCGCACCTGCAGCCGTTGGCGAAGGGCTGCGTTGCTCCTTGTCTGGAGTGTCCCGGACGAACGCCTTGTACACAGGCAAGGCAACCTCCCCCCTTGAGGCGCCCACCCGAGCTGGCCAGTCTGGTAGGTCCCACTGGTCCAACAGGGCTAGCGAGGCAGCCGCCCAGGTGCGCCCTGGAGATACATGGCCGTGCACAAACGCTCCTTTGTAAAGATCCCCATCCGGAAGGAGCCACAGGCCTACTCGCCGGGAGGCGATGTCCACGATGGCCCGTGCAACTCCAGAGAGCGACCAGCCAAGCTCCGAGACTGCTGCAGCACCGTTGCGCCAGGGATGGCTCCCCAGGAGCGCCCTGGCCCACCCTTCATAAGCAGAGTCCAGGCGCTCGAGGGCTCCCTCTGCTGTGGCCAGGAGCCAGCGCCCGAAGCGCAGTGAGGCGTCAATCTCCATGTCGAAAATGAGCGCCGCCGCAGCCAGCGAGAGCGCTCCTGCCGCCACGTGCCCCGCCAGGGACGCGCACTGCGATGAGGCCACGGCGAGCCGCACCTCTAGCGCCCCAAGCAGGCTCAGGTCCCCAGGCCACTGTAGACCAAGCCACCTGTGCTTGGTGGCGAGGTCCACCTGTACCGGCGGGAGGCCGCGCAGCGGCAGCTGGAGAGGGGGGGCGTTGGCAGCAGCCGCCCGCGCTGCCAGGGACCCGTGCACAACAGCGGCGTGCTTGGAAGCTTGGTGTGCGGGGACGCCTTCCACCGATATGCCCACTCGGCAAGTAGCTGGAGAGATGGAGCCGCCCCTCCCCAATAAGATGCCTGCAGGGCCGGGTCGTCAGCGTGCAGGGGGGCCGCTATCCGCCTGGGAGCGGCGGCGTCCAGGGCGGCCAGGGCGGAGGCTTCCAGGCTCTCGGGTCTTTCTTGGGCTGTCTTGGGGCTGAGGGCGAGGAGGAGGAGGAGGAGGGCGAGGAGGGAGGAGGAGGAGGAGGAGGAGGGAGGTGGAGTCCTCCCTCCTCGCCCCTCCTCGAGGTGGCGCCCAGGCTCGCGCGGGGCGCACCGGGGCCTGGTTGACGCGGCGCAGTGGGGACACGTCCACGGCTTGGCGCCGGACGACGCCGGCGGAGCCGACGCGGGTGGAGTCCTCGCGGCGGGAGGGGAGGTCATCTTCCTCATCCAACTTCTTCCTCCTCCTCCTCCTCCTCCTCCTCCACCTTCCCCCTCCTCCCACTCCACTCCACTCCACTCCACTCCACTCCACTCCCCTCCCCTCCCCTCCCCTCCCCTCTCCTCCTCCTCCTCCTCCTCCTCCTCCTCCTCCTCCTCCGCCGCCTCCGCCTCCGCCTCCGCTTCCACCTCCTCCTCCTCCTCCTCCTCCTCCTCCTTCTCCGCCTCCTCTTATTCTTAATAATATTATTAGTAGTATTAATACGATTATTAGTAGTACGATTATTCTTAGTATTATGATTATTATGCTCAGTCTTATTATTCGTAGTTTTCTTACTCATATTATTGTTAATGTTATTATAATTAGTAATAGTAGTAGTAGTAGTAGTAGTAGTAGTAGTAGTAGTAGTAGTAGTAGTTGTAGTAGTAGTAGTAGTAGTAGTAGTAGTAGTAGTAGTAGTAGTAGTAGTAGTAGTAGTACTATTATTATTGGTACTAGCATTATTAGAATTATTATTATTATTATTCATATAATGAAATATTACTATAAGTTTTAGTATTAATAGTGGTAGTAGTATGTGTATTATTAGTATGAGTATTAGTAGTATTGTCATTAGTATTAGTATCATTATTGGTATTATTTTCATTCGAAGTATCATTGTTGTTAGTATTCGTATTACCAGTAGTAGTAGTATTATTAGTAATATTGGTGTGTGAATTATTATGATTATGATTATCAGTATCAGTATTATTATTACTATTATTAGTGTTATTATTACTTTGTGTATTATGATTCGTCGTCTTATTCTTACTGTTAGTGGCCTTAATAGTCTTATGACTTGTAATATTCTTAGTACTACTGTCTTATCATGGTTATTCGTATTAAGAATAATAGTACTCGTACTCTTATTATTAGTAGTATTGTTAGTAGTACTATTATTTTTATGTTGAATAATAATATTGATGGCATTATGATTGCTATTATTATTAGTTACGTGTGCTTCTTCTTCTGAATAGTGTCAGTATTCTGCGTCTTAGTATTACCATTAGTGCTAGCTGGCATTATGAATATCATTATTCGTATTATCGATAGTGTTCGTATGAGTATTACTAGTATTGTTATTCGTATTATTAGCATTGTTAGTTTCAAGATTATTCGTAGCATTCGTATTATTATTGTTGGTAGTCTCCGAATTATTATGTTACGCATGACTCTAAGTATTATTATGATGAGTATGATTAGTCTTAATACTAGCATGTGTCTTCTTCGTATTCGCAATATTCAAAGTATGAATATTATTCCTTTTAGTATTCTGAATATTCGTAGTGTTCGGATGTTCCTTATGATTCGTCTTAGTATTTGTAATTAGCGTAGTATGATGATTAATCGTAGTACGATTCTTCGTCTACGTAGTATTATTATTCTTACTTACTAGTATTACTGGTCATATTCGCACATTAGTAGTATGAGTATTCCTCCTCCTCCTCCTCCTCCTCCTCCTCCTCCTCATCATCATCATCATCATCATCATCATCATCATCATCATCATCATGATCCTCCTCCTCCACATCCTCCTCCTCCTCCTCATCATCAGCATCATCAGTTTCCTCCTCCTTCTCCTCCTCCTCCTCAACCTCCTCCTCCCCCTCCTCCTCTTCCTCCTCTCCTCCTCCACCCCCTCCTCCCCATCCTCCTCCTGCTCCTCCTCCTCCTCCTCCGCCTCCTC